TGTTTCTATACATTCAACTATCATATTGATTATGAATGTTTCAATGTTTTGTCTAGTTTATAGATACATGAAGGTGTGTGTGTTGGTTTCAGGTTCTTTGTATATTAAGCAGGTTTTGTTTTGGTATAATGATGAAGCTCTTGCATATAGCTTGCTTTTGGTTGGTAACTCCTTATTCCATATGCTAAGGTAGAATTTTCTTAACTTCTGGTCTTTCCAGGTTATATAGTGATTACACATCTTGGTTGGTTGCAAGTGTATTGTGGTTGTGGGCCAGTCTGTTTCTTTAATGATTCTGTTGCTAAAGTTACATCTTGTCCTATTTAGTAGTTTTCATTTTGTCATGTATATAGTACTAGTTAGCTTTTTTGTGACCATTTTTATTGGGACCTCAGTAGGAGTGTTGTTCCATTAAAATTCTTTATTAAATAGAACTACTATCTATAGTTTATTACTATAAATTATCTTTAAAAACAATAAATAGTTAAATAAAAATATTGAAAAAAAAAGAAAAGAAAAACAATCAATGGTTTTTTAAAGATTTTTATTTAAGTAAATAATCTTTTCTTAAAAATTTTGTCTATTGAAATATTTTTTAGACTCAATCTATTTAAAATACTGAAAAAGGAAGCAAAACCAATTAACAGTTTTTTAAAAGATCTTTATTCAAATAAACAATCTTTTCTTAAAAAAATTTTTATCTATGAAAATATTTTTTAAACTCAAATTATTTAAGAAATTAATTATTTTTAAATAGAAAAAATCTAATATATATATATAAGAAGCTTATTTCTTTATTGATATATAGGTTTAAATTTATTTATTATATTAAATTAATATCAATATTATATTATACTAGAGTTTTTTTAACTAAAATAAAAGTCTTGTCTTTTAAAAAACTTTGTCTATTAGAATAGAAATATAAAGATCTTAACTTTTTTTTTGGAAAACTTTTTTATCAACTAAGAAACTTGTTTAGAAATAATAATGTTATATTTTATATTTTTTACTTACTTTTAATATTAATTAAAGAATACAATTTCTATAATTTATATTTTTTACTTATTTTTAATATTAATTAAAGGAAATGATTTCTATAAATTATTATTATTATTATTATTATTATCAAAATATTTAATTGCAATTAATAAAAACTTGTTTATATTTTAAAAACTAATATATTTTATATTTATCAATTGTCTTTAGTGAATATTATACTATTCAAAAATTCAAAATCAAATTAAAGTAGATAAAATTTCTTAGAAAATCATAAAAGTTAAAACTTTAATAGAGTTATAACAATTTATAAAAGAAAAAATAAGTCTTTTTACCATAATATATCTTTATAAAATTTACTTTAAAAATAAAAAAAGATTTTTAAATATTTTATGGTTTTTTTTTCTTTAGATACATTTTATTATTGATAATAAATATGTTATTAGATTATTTTTTAATTTTCAAAATTTAAGTTTTTACTCAAGGAGATTTGTAAAAAAGAAAAGAAATGTAATAATAACCTTTAAAGAAACTTTTCAAGTTGTTTCAAGAAAAATAGTAAGACTTTATTAATTAATAAGTTTAAAATCCTTTGATAAATAATTTTTTTTATTTGTAATTAAAGAATTAGAAAAAAGAGTTCACTATATATTTGTTTATATTTCTTTGCTTATTAAATATTAAAAAAAATAAAGCTTTTATTATATAATAAAAGCTAAAAAATTTTTAATATATTGTATAAATACCTAAATATTTAAAAATCAATTTTACTTACGAATATTTTGTTAAAAGAAATATGATTATAATTTTATATTTTTATTTTAATTAAAAAATTTTATATTATATTAAATATGATATATCACGAATTATTATTTATAAATTCGATTTTCTAAATATGTTTTTATAAATAATTTGTCATGCTATAATATTTAACTTGCAACTTTTATATAATTTAATATATAACGAATAAAAAACAATTTTTTTTTTTTTTTTTTTTTTTTTTTTTTTTTTTTTTACAAAATAATATTAATCAATATAAAAATTTTTAATCGAAAATTATTTTATAAAGTAAAAATATTTCAACGATGGATTTTTACATTTTTAAATTAACTTTAAAAAATAATATTAAATCAATATAAAAATTTTAATTGGAAATTTTTGATAAAGCAAAAATGTTTCAACGATGGATTTTTATATTTTTAAATAAATTAACTTTAAATTAGGAAAAAAAATTTTAAAAAATAATTATTTTTATTATAATGCTTCGCGAGTAAGATGACTGTACGTATAATGATCTACCATCATATACGTATTGCATGATTATCTAAAATTTAAGATATTTTTGTTCGTTCTAAATTCATTATTTTATTAATTGTTTACAAAGTTACTGTATATCATACTTTCTCCTAATTATTAATCTCACTATAAATCAATACAAGAAATTGAATAAATGTCACAACGTTTAATTCTATTCACCCTATTCCCTAATATTTTGTTTAGAAATTTAAGCAATAAATTTCACAATTATAATTATTATTATGGTTTCGAATAAATTTTTACCATCGTTTGATGTTATTCTTTTTCTATAGACTCAATTTTCTTTTCAATGTTCTCTATCTTCTGCATCAGTTTCTCAAAATCATTGCCACCAAATTCATTTTTCGTATGCACATGAATCAAATCAAATAATCTTTTGGGAATGTATGGAGGATTCAAACCTTCGTAAGTATGGTTTTGCATAGAAATGATGATATCCTTCAGCTTGCTTACTTCAGCCTCATAGAAACTTTTTTTAAAGATTGAAGTTAGTTGCAGATTTTCGAAATCCTTTAATCTTTGTAATTAATTTCAAACGCTAAACGCTTACAAAAATTCCGGAAACCAGTCGTGTTTTCTCCTTTGACGAGGTAGCATATAGAATAGCTCGATTTCCGCCAAAACCTGAGGAATAATGAAGCGAATTAATTTTCGATGAATGACCACAATTATAATGACATGGCAGCATTCTATAAATCATACATCAGCCTTCAATAGTAGAAAAGATTCATAGTTGCTAGTTTCACCAATTGCATTGCTGAGCAAACCGATAAACAAGTTCATTAAATAAATGGTGGTGAAAAACGAGAAAGTCACGATTATAATAACTAATGTGATATTTTCGGTCAGTGACGAGGATGATATGGGACTGGAATCCCCTGCGAAAACAATTTTCGAATAAAAATTTGTTTGCTAGACTCAATTATTTGGAGGAAAGATTAATTCAAAAGTGAGAAAATACCCGTCAGCATTAAATAGACGGCCAGTATTGAAGTATCGAGCATGGAAAACATGTTTGTGCTCTCACTGGGAAGCTCGACCAGGGACGAGGTTTCATTAATAGTACCATCTGAAACAGAATATAGCTTTGTTGCCAGGTTCCATGGATTATTTGGGTCGCTCGAATTGCTTGGTGTGGTTAAAGAATAGTTATCAACTGGTCTTAATAAAAGGTGGAGCGCATGTGCAAATGAGAGCACAATGAATACTAGCATAAATATAAAAGAAAACGCTTTGCGAGCGACCCCAATGATCATCGCAAAATGAATGCCGAAATAGCTTGTTGCTCTAAAAAAGAACAGGAATTTGATTTCAAGTAATAATGTTGTGAATGTGGTTAACCAAACCGAGATCGAACCATATTTGAGCCAGACTATGGAACTGGCTATTGCAAAGAGTATTGCACCTAGATCTAGATTGAGGAACAGTTATTCTATTTGGTTTTTTTCTTTGCAATTGTATACAGCGTACAGAGTATAATAGATTACCGAAGTAATTCCAGGGGCTGGCAATATATTGTTTTGGGTTAAAAATGAATTGTCTGACTTCGACAAAAAAGTGAAATATCCCAAAAACTATAGTTGCGACCAAGAGAATTCTCGAGGTGCTCCAAGAAATATGACTCGAAAAAGTCGCGGGAATCGTAAAGAACGCGAGGAATACGGTATAAAATGCCCATATCACGATATAATATTTTCTCCCGTATTTATTCCATTTGAAGTCTAACAAAGCTTCACCATTCCACCATTTATAAAGCTGAGTCTTGTCATAGTCGGTGAAGGGACTATGTTGCGGGGAGATTAATTCTGAATAGGTATTGTATTCAGAAGGATAGCTAACGAAATTAGGCAGTGGAAAAGTTAACTTGATAGTTAATTTTCCTTCTTCCTGGGAAAATCCTTCGATGAAAAATTTCTTGGGACGTGATAAATAATTGAAGAAACGTTTAACTGGGGTTAAAAGATTAATAGAAGAGATTTCGGGAAATGCATCAAGGTGCTGATGATGTCTTGAAGTCGAATAGTGGTTGACGACTCCGGGTGATGTTTGATCGCCGGGTGCAAAAAAGGCTACCAGAGATAAAATGCGGTTGGAAATATTTGGGTACTGATTTGACAGCTTAACGAAGTTGCAAGCAATTATATTGAGTAACCTAATATTTGAAACAAAATGTTTCGTATGATTATCAATAGTCATTTCCTTGATGGATTCGATTAATTCCTCAATCAGATCGTTTTCATTGTTATCAACTAACATTTCTAGCAAGCGATTTCCGTAAAGGTCTAACTTGAATCTGTCCGTGGAATAATCAGCAATCAATTCTTTAAAGAAAGGTGATTTCTTTTCAGAACCAACAGCATAAGTGTCTTGATTTTGAATTATAAAATCGAAATCTGGTGAAGGTAAATATAATTCGAAGTCTGCTGGGGGTAAGCGTAGATGAGAATCCCATTCCACGTTCTCTTCATCATACCAAGTCCAAAAGTAACGCAAGCGTATTTCATTCTTAATCTCATCATCGATTTTCGACTCCTCTGAATCCTCATCGACATTATCCTTTGAATCACCGGCAGCCTTGACGCATTTGACAGTCCAAATAAGCACGCCAATAATTGTGGTCATCAACAAATCTTCATTCTCCAAAACTTTAACTTCAGAAATATATTTTGTCGCATCGGCCTTGCCATTATGTGAACCTTCCTTTTCTCTTCCCACGTCTCTCTTCTTCCTTGCCTTCTTTATATCTTTATCATCGTGCATGTGTACGTCATGATCTTTAGCTTGATGCATGTATACGTCGCGACCTTTCGGATCGGTTTTTTCATTGGTGAGTAAGATATTGTGTGATTCAATTTTTAATTTCCAACGTCCTTGCTCCCATCTTTCGTTGATGAACGATCCATCTTCCTTTGGTCGTTTTTTTGCAAGATTATCCTGCAAATTTTTTACTTTCTCCCCGTGTGGATATTTATTGAGTACACCCAAATCTTTATCCCAACTTTCTCTGATAAAATCCTGAACAATCATTTTTTTATTCGCGATATAGAAATGACTATTATTGCTAATGGCGTATGGCTCCATTAGCACAGTGGTTCTATCTTCAGGATTTCCGGTTTTTTTTTGGATTAACCTTTTCTTCAATACCACGAATCGTCCCCATCAAATTGTTTGCATCAATTTTAGTGAGAGTGTAAGGATCGAGTAGGTAATGATAGTGACGCCATTTTTTTTCTGTGCATATGACAAGCAAGTACTCCCCGATATCTGACAAAAGAAAATGACATTCTTTTATCTTTATTTTTCCATCGGGAGAAACTAATGATGCATAAAATTAGAGTTGGTTAAAGAAAAAAATGTTCTCGCATTTAACTCCTCACAATTAGAATACTTACAAGATGCCACAATGTGTTGCTCTTTCAACGAACACGTATAGACAGTTTTTTTATTCCAAACTGCCAAGAAGGTGGCATCATCATTGATGACTTTGCTTTCAATAATTAAGCCACGTAGAGAAGTAAAGTTCCAGTCCAAAGCCCATTCTTTTTCGAATTTTAATGTGCTAATGTCCCACTGCATGAGGATATGTATCTCGTGTCGATAGATAAAAAGCTTTCCGTTCACAGTCAACTTAATAAAATCTTCAGTATTGTAATCGGGGACTCGAAAAATATTTTTTTATTTCCAGTTCGGTCCTGAAAACAAGTAACCCGTAGCGATAATATTTTCTTCGCCGTCTACCTCCTCTCTCTCTTCCTTGATAAGCACGTATCCCCTGTTGTACTTCTCATTTGTGACAAAGGTCCCTCCGATAAACGTCCCCTTGTTACCGGTTTGTAATAAAACACCTCTTTTCTCGTTTTCAAAGACATTGGCATCAAAAAGCACCAGACCTAACATGATGAGTGAGAGAAAATTAGTATCCATGCTATGTTTAGGCATAGGGTTTCGATCATACCAAACTCACTTTCAATCTCATTTTTATGATCATCATAACAAGCTTTTAGAACAATGTGCTTTTGATCCGATATATCAAGGAGGTCAATAAAATCCCCGTCCCCATCAAATCCCAATGGTAATGGCAATTCGGGCTTAAATCTACCCTCGTACTCTCGACCTTCCCTTCCTTTAAGGGAATATATGTAAATTATGTCAATTTCTCTCGCGTAACCCCAAGCTGTGATATAATCTAAATTTGGAGAGCACACAATTTTTTTTATATCATTGACTTCGGGATCGTCGCCCTCAATTTCAATATCTATTTTATGTTCGAGTTCGCTCATCTTTGAAAATTTCTACTTCTCACGAGGTCCAACCTATTTTAAAGGGACCCATGACTCTCGGCTTAGGGATTTCAAGATCACGGATGGCTTATGAAAAAGTGCATGCGGTGGCAAAGAAAAAAAATCCCTTTTTTTTTTTTTTTTTTTTTAATCTAATCTAAGCCTTCAAACAAGCACTCGCTGTGATGATGAACACTCCTCATATCCTCAAATGTTCATCAAGACAATGGCTCTGAGCCATCGAGTGATCAATAAGTACGAAAAAAATTTTCAACATAATTTTTCAAAGAACGAACGTTTAATTAGCAGTACGTATTGCGTACGACATACGCACAGTATATTTAAAATGTGTTTAAGCTCGGTGAAAATGCGGGGCACATCTTACCGATCAACCAAGATTGTTAAGGCTTATCGATGAAAAGCGTGATACGACTTGTTTCGGCCGAATCGAGTAAGCGTACTTACCAATAATAATGACGAATATAATGATGCTATACACCGTCTTTTCGAAAATCTTTTTTTTTTTTTTTTTTGACTATGCATAAAAATAAAGAATAAACAAATAAACAAACAAATAAATCAATAAAATAAATAAATAATAAATAACATATCAATTTTATTATAGCGACAAGAATAATCAAAGTATCACAAAAAATTTTTTCTTATCAATAATTTTTATTATATTTTAATTTAAAAAACAATTTTTAAAAAACCTTTATTTTTATTTCAATTAAAATCTAACGAAGTCATAAAAAATTCTTAAAATGAAATTGTAAATCGAAATCATCATATGACATGTAAACAAAACTTTACTCTTACTGTTGAAAAAATTTTTTCTCACTATTCTAACAATTCTGGTCGCAATTCCATTAGAAACAGCCTATAGGATCACATGCAAGTACCGTATCCGTGATCCGATCTCGAGAAAATTTATCAAGGTAAACGTCATTTTAAATGGTGAATATCGAATTATCCAAAGTAGCGTAAATTCATTACACAATTCACGAAATCAAGTGGTCACTTCTATTAAATTTTCTTGTGACCCGCACAAGGTGTTAAAATGAGAAACGTACACCCAAGGACCAGGTGCAATGAAGTATATGAATAATGAAACACGCGAGCTTTATCTGTTGAAACTCCTGCTCAATATGATAAAGTAAATACTGTAATATTAATATCAAAGTATTATTGGCATGCACCCGAACACTAATAAGGTTGCACGCAGTAAAAACCATTAAAAAGGTCGCACATGATCTATTAATAGCGCTTTTATGGTTGTGTCACAAATTTCCGAATAGAGTAACGCGAGATATTGTTTAAGTTTCTGATATGACATTCTACGACCATTTTACGTTATCTTTTATGTGCTGATAACGGAAACAGGAAAATGAGAGCGCCCACGATGAACTCTAAAAGTATTAATATACGGTGAGGAATCCTCAATAGCATTTCAGTTTACGAAACCCTCATTTTCCACATCTTTATCACCGCATTAAAATTTAAAATGACCGACTTGCAGAGAAAGAAAAAAAAATCAACATGCTATTTTGCATTGCAATTCAAATTCGACCTTGATGTAGACCATCATGTTGTCCACTAGTCCATCACGATGTTGAAGAGGAGATTATCGAACTTGATCTCGTGAAATGGTCAAATTATTCCATAGAATGTGCTTCAAATTTGTATTATGAAATATTATCATAGATTGATCAGGCACGCACAAACTCATTTCTTGTTTGCCTTATCATATTTGGTTTTGTGGCCTATTGTCGACTTTATTTTTTGACAGAGGAATTTGTATCTTGGGTTTAGGTATGAATTTCTAGACACCATTTCTGTTTTCTCATTTCAATCAGTTTCTCGTCTTCTTCATTTTATTCATTTATCATTATTATATTTTTTTAAAAAAAAAAAAAAAAAACAGGAACTAACAAAAAAAAAAAAAAAACAGGAACTAACATAAATAGGATTTCCTTTTTGCGATTTTTCATCGCTTCGGTAATCAATATCGCATTCAACATATCCTTGGAAGCCGGATTGCTCTATGCCAATGGAGGAATATTTTCCATGATAGATAACCTCACCGGTGAACGTCACGTAGTCGGAGCGCTATACTTTACGTGCGCGTTGTTTATCTTTGTTCAAATATTGATGCATCTGTGTTTATTTTACGGGGTAAACATTATGTTACGATTACTATTGATGCCTGTGCGATTTAGAAAAGTTCTCCATTATTCACGTGACTTTTCGATAAATTCAATAGGTTTTGATTTCTTTTGGTCTCACAAGGAAGTTCTAGAACGATTACTGAGACCTAACGACGGGGCTCTGATGTGCAGTATACTATTAGTGAAAGCATTTCTCTTTGTAATAAAAATCATTCTTCTGTATACTTGATTACTCTATTTACGTGACACACATAATACGTGATAGATAGACTAACAATCAATTATTTGGAACTAATAAACATGAGGTCTTAAATTTATTTTGAATCTGCTAAAATGAAATATGATCGCATCAGTGTCAAAGAAACAATTTCTCCGTGTATTCTGCCAACGCGAATATCTTACATACAGTATGTGCGTAATCTGACTGTACCATTGCTGCACATGCATCTACGAGCCTAATTTGTACAAATGCAGATATTACTATTCTACGAACCTAATTTGTCCAAATGAAAGAAGCTCACAATAACGGAAAAGGAATTCGTACGATTGTTGTGAAAATCAGTTTGCGGCACAAGATGTATTGTATATCATAAATCCAAGATCAAATTTTCCGGGCGCAAACTTTTCTTTTCTTTTCGTTCTTTCTTTTCAACGACCTTATTTAATTCGCTTTATCACATTTACTAGTTCAGTGTAACGAGACCTTTATGACATCATATGAATACTATCGTTCCATAATTTTCAGGAGAATTTAAGCACCTGAACCCCACACTAATTTTCAAGGACAGTGTACAAATACAAGACAATCATCACATGTACTCTATCTAAAAAATGTTTCTTATAACGACAAATAGGTAAAGAAATGATTTTTTTTTTATTTTATTTACAAATTTGTATTCTACAAATAAGTAATCATAGCCACAATAAATAAATAAAAAAACGCAATCACGTAGAATAATGCGTTTGCAATGCGTACTAATAACGAATCGGAGGAATTTTCGTGAAATCATCAGTCATTATTAAGGTATACACATAGATAATGCATCTATTCACCGATGATAGACAACTACGTCTAATCAAACAACGAAAATGCGATTACCAATTGTTTGAGTAAAAAAAGAGGTAGGGTTTGATTCTACCGCTTGGTTTAACGAGTGAAGGAAGGACAAACAATATAATTAATTTTATTACTCGTGATAATAGGCTGCATGTATACTTGCACGGTATATTTATAATCAAAACGGAAAGTACAATTAAAGATGATGGTGACAATGACATGAAAAGTATCAGTTATTTCGTAAAAAATTTTGGAGACTCATCGTCATCTCTCCAGATCGCGAAACTTTTCGTTTAATTGCCAGAGTCAGAAATCAGATCACTGGTCACGTGCTCATCGGGAATGCGCGGTTGTAACTATTGCTTTGGAATTTTCTCTCGTATCATTTGATAGTGGACCTCACTAGATTCCGTAGTTTCATTGTGACGTTATGATGGCGCGGTTTGAGTGATGATGGATATTGTTGAAAAAAAGAGACATTATTTCATTTTATAAAAAAAAAAATTAATTACCCTAAAATGAAGTAAAAAGAAAAAAGGAACATTTTGTGTTTGAACCAGATCGGTGGTACGATAAAATGATTATCACCAAACCAGACGATTATATTGTTTTCTCTGGTACTCCACACATGTTCTTCCATTCATCGACCAACGAGTGATAAATTCATCAATTCGCCGACGCAGAAGTTTTTACATGCAAACAAGCGAGTCAATGTCATTTTTATTTGTGCACGCACTGAATTGATTAACGGAAAAAGAAAGAAAAGAAAAGAAAAGAAGAAGGAAAGATTAACCATCATACTTCATTTCTCGAACACGCAATGTGATTTCCAGTGTCTTTTCCATCTCCTGAACCTAAAGAGAAAATTTTTGATTTATGGTCTGTATGGTCTACATAAGTCTCTTTTTGTTATTAATATCATCATTTTGAAAAATCCGAGATATAAAACTATGCTTTACTTCATATTAAAAAATGTATTCTGCGAAACAAAGAGGTTGCAAATACTGTATATTAATTAGATTTGGCTCTCAAATACAGTACGTGTATGTAAATCAGTTTTCAATATAGTGTCACGTATGTATACGTATGTAATGCTTTTATTGAGGCGGCAGTGCATTTAAAATTGTGATTACGTGTGTCCTTTCTTTCCGCTTTAGTCATAGATGCATCTCCTTAAATGAAACAATCGTTTTGTACACGCAATTTTTTTAAACATTACTAGAGTGAACAATGAAATCAGGTAATTGAGGCTGTAGTGGTCATTAGAGTGAGTATTTATCGCCATGCAATTTTTCATTGTTTACTGTATTTATTTATCTATTCGCGGTACTTATTTAAAGGTCAAGGTTACACCATTTCTATGTTTGATATTTCAATCGATTTATAAAGTATCCGGGAGATACGTATTTGAAATTCGTCGCATTCCTTACGCTACAATTTAAATTATGGAATACTCTTTTCAGATAGAACCTTTTCATGTATGCTCCAGAGAACCACCTAAGAAAATTATTGATCATCCTATTCAAATGCCGAATGCCTCTGAAATAAACATTGATGAATTTATCAACCGTCCTCGTGAAAAGTACCGCAGGAGGAGTCCCAATGGCTTCTTCGTGTATCGCAGTGTATTTGTAAAGGAACTTTTACGACACAACCACAAGTTAGAAATGGTCGACGCCTCAAAATTGGCGAGCACTCGGTGGCGCAAAGAGGACGCAAAGACTCGTGAAGAATATAAGAGAATCGCCGCTATGGTCGACAAGAAACTCAAAAAAGTTAAGGAGGAATCATGGGAAAATTTTCACAGACAATTCATACCCTGGAAAAATGAGAAACCTCCAAAGCGCATCTCATCAGCGCCTACTTCCTTAAACCTTTTTTCTCCCCAAATTACTACCTCTTCACCAAAGTTTCCTTCTCTTCCCACCACAGAGCCTATTCAAAATACTCCCCAACCCCATCCTTTTGATTTTGAAGATGAAAAGGATGGTCTCGAGGATGTGTTGTGGTATTTGAGGAGTCTTCCGTGTTTCTAGAAACATCTTGAATCTCCCACTCTCTTTCGTTCTTTTTTGTTTTCTTTTATCAATCCTGTTCTCCGAAAGATTATTATACAGTATGTACGATAAAATCACGGCTATTATATGAACCTAAGACAATGTATAGGGATAAGAACTTTAAGAGCACGTAATATATGGAAATTAAGTATTGTATACTTGTCTTAAATAAAAAAAAAGATTATGCCAAATATCAGAAATTTACCGTTTAACGACATGCAAAAATGTCATTTTTTAACATTTCGAATACGTCTCTCTCTGAATATTGGCGAGTAAAGTTAAACACATATTACAGTACAAGGCTTACTTCAGTAATTCATCTCTTTGCCGTCTATCTTTAACTAATAATAAACTTGTCACCTACAGTAAATAAAGGGCATCGTCCTTATAGATCTTGATAATTAACTCAGATGCGGTATGTGTAATATGTAGGATAGATATCTTAGATGAAATACCCAATTGCTGTATCATCACTATTGTCTTCTCACGCGGCGGTTGTCCGATCAGATAAATAATAATGCATGTAAATTATCATAAGGAACGTATAGAGGCTCATGAAGAATGTAACACATGGGATTTCCTTGAATTTCATGGGTCCAAAAAAATTTTTTTTAAAATAAAATAAAAATAAAATAAACAAGTACATTGTAGGGATTGATAAATACGTACATATTACAATATAGCATTTATTGTTTATTCGTAAACGAAGTCTAGAAACCGCTACAGGGAGTACGTATAATTTATCGATGACTTATTCTATACCAACAAGTCCAAAACAGCATTTCTGTACTCGAACATTGCTATTCTCGTGTTTAACGAAATTTATTATAAAAGGACAAATAACGATATTTACAAGCATTTTGATATCTTATCTCATGCCGCATATTAGATGCATGAGCATCCTTAACCTTTACCCGACCCAAATCGCTCATTGATTATTTACATATACTGTACGTATTGCGCCAAGTTAAACCGAACCGCGAACAATTTTTTTAATGATGTGCCTATGATCTTTCCAAATTTGAATGTCATAATAAGATTTCCAAATTTGTAATAGGTGTACTGTATCTCCACAAGCCGCCTCATGCAGAGAATCGGTCGAGGATCTTTTAAATGTGTTTAACAAGAAATCGTAAGAACTGATGAATGAATTTATGCTTAGGCCCGCAAAAAAAATAAATAAGTAAATAAATAAAATAATATAAATAAAATAATATAAATAAAATAAAATAAATAAAATAGATAGCGAAAAATAATCGCAGGCCGAAAATTTGTATTTTTTTTTCTCCATTTTTAATTTATTTTTAATTTTAGTCATTTTTTTATTTTATTTTATTTTATTTTATTTTTTTTGCCATTCAAACGTCGCACGCAATCCAGGTGTTTGGTTCAATCCGATAACAACAAAAGAATCAACAATCGCTAATTAATATACAGTGTATGCATAGGGCTATTTATTTTGTAATTAATAACATTCTATTAAATTAAATAAAAATCTACTAGTACTAACCAAATTTCAAATATATTGTATATAAAAGAAAAGCATATTCAACTTATAAAAAAAAATATTAAAAGAAATTGCCATTATATATTATATCAAATTTATTTTATAAAGAGTATTTTAAAAGATAAAATATTAAATAATAAATCAATCAGAATTTAAAATTCATAAAATTTAAAAGAATATTAAAAATCCAAGACAACATATAGAAATATAATGATACCATTCATTTGAATACGAATATCAAAATGTATTGCACAAATCAGAATGCAAAAATAATAAGTTTAAAACATAATTTTTTTTTTATATTTCCTAATTTTATTGAAGTATTTCTATTAAATTATCTTGATATACACTTTTTAAATAATTTTGATTAATTTATTCACAATAAATTATTCTTATATTAATTATTATATCATTGTATACTTTTTTTAAAAATCTAAATTTAATTTATCACTTTATATTTAATTGTTTTTTTAAAATAGACTTGAAATAAAATATTTTTAAACTTTAAACTCTTTTTATTATTGAAATAGATATACTGTATATACAGTATATATTAATTTATTATCAGGTTAGTATATTTTGTTTTTATTATGAAATAAAAGAAATAATTATAATTTATGACTTTTACATATCAACTTATTATTATTGAAATTTCTTTCTTTATATATACTATAACTTATAAGATAATATTTTACTTGCTTTATAGTTTAAATTAATCTTTAATTATAATTTTAATACTTACAAGTTATCCTTATAAATCTTCCAAGTTCTATTGAATAAATTAAAAATAAAATCATTTTTTCTATATTACTCATGTTTCAATAACATTTTTATAAAAGGTAATATTTTCAAAGTGTATGTCTTTTATTCTGCTTTTTTACAAGTATTTAAATATTTTTTTCTTCAAGATCTATTATAATACTTTTAATTTTATTTCTTGAAGTTTTGCATTTTTTTTTTCATATTATATTTATATCTTTTTTTACTTGATTATAGCAATATAACAATTGTTTCAAATCTTTTTTTGAAACTTTTCTACATTTATTGACAAAGTTTTTTAATTACTTTTCTTGAAATAATAGATTTTATCTATACTGATCTTTGAAATATTATCAAATTCTTTTAATTCTATCTTTGTATAAATAGCAAATAATAATTTGTAAAGATTTTGATTTACAATTGAATTTTTTAAACTATTTATTATTTTTCTTTAAATAATTTTTTGATTAATTATTGTAATCTTTTTTTTAACTAAATATTGAGCCAATGTCTTACTTATTTCTTTTCAAATCTCTGTTCTATTGGAACTAATTGCTGAATACTCAAATATGTGCTTAATTATTTATTCAAAAATTTTGCATTTTGAACAATTATTTATTAAACAAATATCATATTTTTTTTCTTTAATTATTTAGAGTATAAATAGTTTATTATAAAGTGACTTATAAGATACTTAAAGAGAACTATACAAAATAAAACCAAAATAAAATCTAATCAAGATAAGTAACAAAAATTATGAATAGTAATATAAAGTAGAAAAAAACAAATAACTTAAGAAAAGTTAAAACAAAAAAAAAAAAAACACAAAGTGATAGTGAAATGTTTTACTTGTTGCAATACTAATAATAATCAACAAAATGGTTTATAAAATGGTTTAGATATTTAGAAAGTATAACATATAATAATAATGTATTATAAAAAAAGATATGTAATAAATATATTTAATATCATGCTTTAATACAAGAAAATTTATTAGAAGAACTTAAAACCAATAATTTAAAAAAAATTTTTTTTATAATTGGCTTAGCCTTGTTTTATTATTGTTTTCAAATTACACTTATACTAAATAGCTAGTGCTATGGTACAGGGATATAGTTTCAGTAATAATAAAACTCGATAAGCTATGAACTACCTTGCAGCTTATTGCCATTCCCTCAAGGGAAAGAAAACTAACATGTCAAAGTCATGTTAGGTATTGGGTAGAATAATAATAATGTGAAAATATAAATATTGTACTTTATATATTTATTTGTACAGCTGTTAACTATCCTGATCAGACTTTTATTCTTATTCTTTGATAATTGATCATGTGGGTTCTCTTGATTCTATTGGGCCTGTCTTGGATGCATTTGATTCATTTTGCTGTCTTGTTTATTGATAGACTTTGGGCTGTATATGGGATTCTTTATAGTATACTTTTCAGATATTATTAAAAGTTCTTTCCATTCTCTCATTGTGTTGATAATCAATGTTGTGATTGTTTTACTGCTAGCTATCAGCCTGTTAAGTATTCCTGGGGTTTCTTTTATGACCACTTCCCTAATGAGTAACTTGAATGTCCTGGGTGCATTTAGATAAATACATTGTTGTATAGTACTCTTATAATTTTTCTTGTATTCTTTGCGAATGTGTGGGAATATGTGTTTTATCAGAATTTTATGAAAGTTTTTTCTCAGGGTGTCTTTCTAGTTGTTGCATAGAAAGGGATAAGTGGTATCTTCTATTTCTTTGCAGTTATGGCATTAGTTGTCTTTGTAGGTTGCAGGATATCTACTATGCAGTTTGCTCTTGGTTGGTAATTCTTAATACCATAAGTTGAAACTGAACTTTCTTAGGTAGTGGTCCTTGTTCAAGGTGGTCTGTTCTTCTATGTTAAGGGGGTATAAGCAATTGAAGATGTGTTGCCAGTGTATGTTCCTGAAGTTCTCTTCTGTGAAGCTATTTTGGATTCTATTAAGCAGCCACCATCTGATAAATCTTATGGCTTTATCAATTTGTTTTACCATGTCCTTTCCTAGTATATCTATTAGTATTTGGTCCTATTGGATGTTGACTAGTGATGATCTCTGGTAATATCCTCTAATGTTAATTATTTTCCTGTTGGGTTTCATGTCTTGTAATATAGAATCAATTTTGAACAGTTTATCTACTTTTTCATTGAGAGAAATACCTATGTATATCTTGACCTTATGGAAAATTGTAGTTAGACCCTGATACTTCTTTATATAGCTATTCAGTATGTGTCTAGGATTGGTTGATTTTGGCGTTGTTTCTTTTTCTGTTTGCAGTTATTACAAGTATCTGCCAGATTAATCATTACATTAAGGCTGTTTATATATAGTTGAACTGTGATGTTCCTACCCAGAGTGCTGATTGCTATTACAATGGCTATGAGCTTTGTCCTTGTGGATAATGTATGCAGTTGTGTCTGCCCTGGAAGGTATGTTCTCTTACCTCTTTATCCTTAATAAACAGCTGAAACCCATATGTGGTCTACTGCCATGGTTGGATACTGATCCATTTGTGTATATTGTTATCTGTTGACTTTGGGCTGTATATGTGATTCTTTATAGTATACTTTCCAGATATTATTAAGAGTTCTTTCCATTCTCTCATTGTGTTGATAATCGATATTGTGATTGTTTTACTGCTAGCTATCAGCCTGTTAAGTATTCCTGGGGTTTCTTTTATG